ACGCAAATCTTTTTTTAACACTGTGTGGCAGGTACCGACTGATACTCCCACCATTTGTGATAAAACACGTACAGAAGTTCTTGGCGCATTTTCCATTATTTGTTGGACATTTTCTTTTAATTCTTCAGTCCGCTTTTTAGGTCGGCCGCTTCCTTCTTTTCTTGTTACACTGCCCGTTTCACGAAAAACATTAACACAACGCTGAACTGCACTTTGAAAAATTTTGTACTCAACAACGCCGGGAAATTGATTTTGAAATTCTATGAAACATTCCTCAATAGAATACTTCCATATTCCATCAATCTTGCGTCCATTTCTAAAGTAGGACTCTATGATAAACACTTTTTGTTCTTGAGAAAACACCATTTTAAACGCTTTTTAAAACGAAAATATTCAAATTGATAGCGGCGATATAGCGCTTTGACAGATGACGTTTAAGTTCATTTGCTATACGCTACGCCCTACGTCCAAATTTTCAGAACCAACTTGACCACGTTTTTATTTGAACGCTCGTTATAAGCGAAATTTCGAAAAAACGACAATTTTCTGTAACACTATAGCAGTTGCTCTCTCTAGCGGTGGAGTTACAAACTTGAAAATATTTTAATTCAATTTCTTTTGGCCGCATTTGTTAATAGATTTTTACCAAATAATTAAGCAGGTCTAGTTTCCTATATACAACCGCTCCGTACCGTTAATGGATCACCCTGTATTTTTGCATTATTAGCCTTATGAAATTCGAGAATATTACCAATTTTAAGCTATTTTTTCAGTTTTCAATTTGCTGGGGCAATTCTGACATCGATTCGGATTCAGGGGGTTAAAATACACGGGAATATATGGGCCAGACCACGATTTTCAGTCGCTGTTAAATCGTACCTGACCATAGAAAATAATTTGTTGTTTTTGAAGCTTTTTTAAGGTTAGGGAGGATTTCTAACCTTCTGGGCCAAATCTGACTTCGGATTCGTGTTTAGCGGGTCAAGATACATAGTGTGGGTGCACATGTTGCAAGTGACCCATTTTTAAGCACAACGTTAAGAACGCCGCCGGACGCACCACGGGGTTCCCGGAAGCCGACCCCTGCAGAGTGGCGCCAGGACCAGAGACTTCTGCCACCGACTACCAAGCTACCTACGACCGACTTCAACCACACGCACTCTCCAGCAAACCCTCGAACCGTCAACACGTCTTTTCATACACAAGTTTGCTATACCTTAGTTTTCAATAAATTCCTTTATTATTACCGTTGAGAGAGCGTTTTATTGTTGCTGTACACCGAAAGCAATCCTCAATAGGAATGCAAAGATCTGACCACTATACTCCGCGGTCGAAATTATAGAGAGTGACTCACACATAATATTAAAACACTATTATCATAATGCGTATAAAATATAACATGATTTGTATACGGTTCAATATTATTTATCTTTGTGCCGCTCGCTACGCACATCGATAGAATCTATAATCGTCTATAGACTGAGTTACACTGAACGTCGATCTATATTCTATCTCTGTCTTTTGCATTTGGTAGGGAATAGGGAAATGTTTTTTTAGTGGGTGTAAACGGACTTGATTTAGCCGTCCTGAGAAACGTCATAGCATAAGCGTAGACGAGGGGTCTAATTCCATGGCTATAATAAATTTATAAATTAAAAAAACACAACTGGGACGTTTTAAAATGCTGTAATAATTAAAATGGATCAAAGTGCCGGTTATAGCAAACCGTAAAAAAATATTAGATGTTATATTTTATTATCTTTTTTCAATATTTTCTATATTTTGTTGCCTTTTACGGAGACACGCCCATGGATTTTCGTTCCCGGCACGCTTCATCCCCCTTACTAGTCCAAAAGCTAGCGATGAGTCACTCTCTATAATTTCGAGCGCGGAGTATAGTTTCGCCGCTAATAAATCATACCTGGATTTTAGATGCCGATTTGTCGATTTTGTGGGCTTTTTTAATCATTTTTGTATGTTTCTGACATCGGATTTGGATTCAGTGGGTCAATACACGGGAATACATAGTTCAGACCACGATTTTAAGTCGCCGTTAAATCATATCCGGGTCATAGAAGCTAATTTATTAATTTAGTAGATTTTTAAACTTTTTTTAAGGTTAGTAAGGATTTGTGACCTTATGGACCGAATTTGACTTCTGACTTTATAGGTTTTTAAGCATTTTTTTGTTGTTCTGGTCATTTACTGGGGCAATTCTGACATCGGTTTCAAAGTACGTGGGAATACTGTATTCTCGTCATTTGCAAAAGACTTTTTGTTTGCTGAGCTGTGTTATTTTTTATTATCTGGTACATTTAACAGTAAATTTTAATTCGGTCGATATGTTAATTTGACGGGAAGAAATTTTTTAAATCAAATACACCTCCAATTCACATATTCCTATTTTCGGTGATAATTTGTTTAATTTACATACTTCAATTAACATAATTTTAACTGTAAATTTCCATTATTTATAATAATCGCGACAAAGCCTATTATAGATAGTGCAGCTATAAAAGTGGCAGGAAAATACTGACAGTTTAATTAAAGAAAATAGGAACTTGTTAATATAACGATAAATTTGTTTACAAATAAATTAAGAGAGATTAAAAATAGGAGCAAAAATTATTAAACATCAATTAATCATGATTAAGATGAAAAATTTTTGCTTTGTTGATTTCTGCTATTATTGATGTGCGCCGAGAGTGATGCTCAGAAAAACTTTTCCTCTCAAAATTTCAAAACTAGAATCTTCAAGCTTCAAGATGCTTCTTTTTTTTTTCTCGATACGACCATTATTCACGAAATTGTAGACTGTCAAAGATCACTAAAAAAAATTTGGACATTTTTCTGCTCCCTTAATTTTTTTGCCGAGATAATATTCTTACCTTGCGTGGAAACTAAGCGAATATAATTTTGAAAATATCTAGCAATTAAATATTATTTAAGAAAATGATATACTTAATACGATTTTTATTTTCACTACTTCACTACTACCGAAAATGTTTTCTCCTAGTACAAATCAAGCCTCCAATTAAGGAAAGCATAATCGAGCACCATTACTAGGCATGTAAAAATTAAATATTCAAATTCAAAAAACACTAAAATATTAAAATTCAACGAGAAATAAAATTAACTTGAAATGTTTAACTGTGACTATTATCAAAATTAATTAACGAAAATGGAAAAATATAATACTGCAAAGTCGGGTTTATTTACATTAATTATTATCTTTGCAGTGTTAAAGTTTAAAAGATTTCTAGAGCGCTGGTAAATGGGGATTTCATTTCAATTATATCGCAACGATAACAAGAAAAGTCCCCTTGAACAAACGTTTGTTTGGTAAGTATATAAGAAGAAAACCACATAGTGTTCGACACGTAAAATCAACTAACGTGTGCTAATATAAAAATGAGATTTTTAAACGTGTTTACTATTGTTTTACTAGCCATAGCCTTTGCCATAGGCTCAGCTTCTGCTGGTAAGTTGACTAAATCTGCATATATATTTTTCTGAAATTATATAATAAATTAATTGCAAAAGTCTATTTCCACTTGAACGAAGACTTGACAAATTTATCATCTCAAATCATTATGTAACTTTTCTTAACATTTTGTGTTCTTAATTTTGTCATTTAATTGATATTGATTTGTACGTACTTGCTTATAATAAACATATACCGAGTGGAAAGCTTAACTGGAATAATTTCTGTAACTTAATAAATAAATGTTCGTCGCAAAATTCCTGAAACACGTCAATTTTTATTTTCAATGGCTCATATTACAAAGAGGTTTGTTTATTTTTTAATATGTGAGGGGTTGCAGCAGTCCCTAAATTTTTTTAATGGCACTTTTTTAAAGCTTTTTCAATGGCAAATATAATTACGTATTTTTTTGTTACTTTTTATAAGCAATGTGTCGGAAAAAAATAAATAAGGAAATGTTTACTGAAACTACTTTAATGCAAAAAAATTTTCAAATTGCCGCCCACTTTGTTGCGAACATTTTTTTAACACTTCCGGCGTTACTTGCCTAATTTCATCCCTGATTCTTTGTTGAAGCTCGGCTATGTCATTAGGTTTAGTAGCATAAACCTTGCTTTTTAGATATTCCCAAAAAAAATAAAAATCTAATAGGGTAAGATTCGGTGATCTTGCTGGCCACTCAATTGGGGCCCTTAAAAGTTGATTTTAAAATTGTTTATAACTATTTTAAAGCGCTGCTTCCATTTAGATTTCGTTTTAATCTTCCTTTATATATTTTTCTGCAGATAGACCACGTATCATATACCCAACATATAGACCACCACCAAGAAGTCCTCCAAAAACCGTCTGGGTATGAGAAACCTTGAACGCTGCGGCAGCAAATAGTTTTAAGGATATATTTTTTCTTTTTTTATATGCAATATAGCAAATTGTGCCTAAAAATTGTTTTGTAATATTTACCTATTGAAGAAAATATAGAACAAATGGTTCATAAGACTTCTTAAGATTTAAACATTATTCTAAACCTATACACTCAAGAAGAAGCTCCTTCGATTTCGTGACATGGAGTAATTGGTGTCGTATTCACAATAAAATTTAATATTATAGTATATTATGTCAATTTTTTTTGTATCTCTAAAGGTCAAAAGGCAATGTTACTTACCGGAATGCATTTAACTTCTGCGAACAGATATTCACGTTCCCCTTACCTGAAAGTAAAGAAATTTTTAGATTTGTAGTTAAATAAATAGAAAAGAAAAAAGATTTCAAAAAATAGATGGTTTTACAACTTCCAAAGACACATACAGTACCATAACTATTAAAAGAACGTTGAAATTATAAAAATTGGTAGCAGAAAAAGTACATGAAAATTTATGAAATAGCTTCACTCCAATAAAAGAAGATAAAGTATGTAATTATCCCAAGTTGTATTAATCTACGACGAACATTTTAGGGATTTTAAATAAGAGTGAAATATGTTATATTTCAACACCCTGTATCTCGCAACACATTCTACGATCTGTGTTACAGCTAGATTACAAAAACTTGGCTCCTGTAGAGGTAGTAGAAAATGCCAAGAAAGTGAGTATTGCCGCAAAGCAGAGAAAATATAGTATAATTTTAAACCTAGAAATGCTAAGCATTAAAAGTCAGTAATTGAACACTTATTTAAAATGTATTAAGACAGTTCTACAAAATATAAAATAAAATTATATTCAATACATTCCAAAAAAAAATAATTTTCATTAATCGTTAATTTCTTAATATGAATAAAATGACAGACATGAGCAAGTCAGCAGTATTGCTGAAACAACGACATGAGGACATAACTGAGCGGGTAGGCCTGGGTCCACCAAAACTAAAGCTAAACTATGTAAGTATAATTTTTTCACCTAGGATACTTACTTGACATTTTCTGTATTCATTTATAAATTGTGATTTTTGTTACAATTGTAGATATATTAACTCTAATTTTTTTTTACAAAATAAACTGTTATACTTTGGAATTCTATTGAATTTAACACACACTTACATGTGGTTAAAGATTTGGTTTTTGCTGGAATTTGCTTCCGAAATGAAAATATGTAATAAATGTATTAAAGGATGCGGTTTGCTACGTCATATTTCAAGTAATTTACGACGTCAAGAATAGATTATACGACGTCGCACTTTACGTATTAAATTACTAACTGGAGTCACGGAAAATAAAGTGCTAGTCCAAGTGGCATCGGGTAAAAACTTGATATCAAAACTGCGGTACTTTTACAGTACTGGAACATTTACAGTACCTGAATACTATAGGTTTAGAAACAGTTTTCAATAGTTAGAGCAATCGCATTTGATTCGAAACAATTAATTTTGAACTTCATTATATCGGAAAACGCATGCGTCCGACTGTTGGAAACAAAGCTTGAATTTCATTGCGTGTCAAATTCCCGTGGGAAACGCATACGGCAACAGAAAGTCATGTAAGCATGGAAAAGCACGAGTAATGAATTTTTAAAGGACAATGTTAAAAAACGGTCAGTTTCCGCACCACTCTGGAACTTTCTGTAGGTATTTTAAATGATTCCAATATTTGATAAAAATACACTTCTAAGACTGACATTCTGCGGGGAAAATCGTCCAGATGGCAATATTCTAGTAAGATCGAGTAAAACTTGTTCAGCCTCTACGTTGATTATTTTACATTGATCCATGTTCAACCAACTCCGAAACATTTTGTAAAATTTTGTAATGTTAAATAACTCCAGTAGGCTTGTATTTGATGCAAATACACGTATGAAGCCGGCATTTTCCAGAAGAAAATGTTCCAGTTATGAATACATGCGTAATATTGTATGAAACTTGTTTACCTCAGAAGGTACAGTTTGCAAAATTGATTGCTTTGTGTCCCCTCTTATCCTAGCTATAGTAACTGGTTCCAGTATGCTTGAATTGGTGGGAATAAACATCGCAACCCAGTATTTTCTGGGGAAAATGTTCCGTATAAGAAGGAAATGAAGGAGACATAAAGCCTAGAATCCAACGCATGGGGGATCAAACGTAACGTACGTATAAATATTTATAAATATTACTTAAAAAAGTATACATGGACAAAAAATAGAACGTATATATAATAAGCTACTCATTAATACAGTTTTTCGCATTTTTGGTCATTACTGTGGATGTAACGTCGGAGAACGAGTGGTTGGTTGCTGTTCTCATGTAATGCATGTAATGCTGGTGCTTTTATGATTCTTTGGATACGCGCGTTATCTAGACTCCCTCCCAATAACCTCAGATCATTCTAACATCCTTGAGACACCGAGTGATAACGAGAGCAGCGATGAAGATGAAGACAATGACATCGATGTATGATTCTTGAACTTTCTCATAAGTGATTCTGACAAAAAGTAGAGGCTGAACAAGTTTTATCCGATCTTACGCGGATATTGTCATCTGAACGATAGCTACAGAAAGTTGCAGAGTGGGGCAGAAATTGACCGATTTTTAACATCGTAACTCAATGTTATGTTAATAGTGCAATTTGTATTATTATAAAAATTCAACTCTTTATGCGTCATTTTGTAATATTGATACATTCTTCTTAAAGACGAAGAAGTGAAAGGTTCTGCTTGATTTACGGTTTCCATTTTTCTATTTTCCAAGTAAATTAATGAAATAGCTCATGAAACACCTCATCTTTCTTCGTAGTGATTCCTCTATAGAAGAGGAACGTGAACCGCCCTATCTTTTCAGAGGAAGCAAATCTCATCTCTGACTAACGTGAAGGCTGAAGATCACCTTAAAGTTTAAGGTGATGGTTTAAGGCTTAGACAATGCCATGCCATTGTCGTAGTTTTCAGGATTTTGTAAATTCAGCAATAACTTTTGTTCAAATTTTCAGGTTGCTGGTTAAGGTATTTACAATAAAAACTGCATGACTTAAAGGAGCAATCGCAGTCGCCATCTGTAATTGTGATACACCACCAGGAAACGATCATTATCCTCTGCATCTTTCGTAGTCAAATGGATCAAACTATTTCTTGGGCGTGCGCCGAAAATTCCAAACATTAAAATTGTCTTTGTTAATAACCACTTTTCGTCTGAGGCTTCGAGAATGAATTTTGTAACTTGGTCTGCAGTTAATAACTTTGACTTCTTCCGTTTGTAGCCACAGTTCTTTTGTTTGAAACACGCAACAGTTCGGAAAATTAAGTGACATTCATATTTTCTTTTATAGCTAGAAATTTTTTTTATAATTGAAAATCGACTTCCTTAAAGTAGACACTCTCATGACTTTTTCGGATAAATAAACTAGAAGAACGTAAGTAACGTGAAGTGAAGTAGAACGTGTGATGATCACTTACAATTTTAATTTTTCATTGCGCAATTTATAAAATTGCCTGTACTAATTTTTGTATCTTTTTTTAGGTTTTTGTAGCAGTAATTGTGCTTTTTTTATTGCTTAATGTAGGCTTTGGTTGGGAGTTTATCAAAATAGTTTCCTGAAAAGTACATTTTTAATTGGATCTCTGAACCTATAATAAGGGCTTTCCAGGGAAGTAAAGTATCTAGGAGTGATACTGGATGATAAGCTTACCTGGAATGCACACTTGGAGAAAGTGGTGAGTAAGGCGAAGCAGACATTGTGTGTATGCCGTCGCCTTAATAGGGGCTGAAGACAAAGATATCATACTGGATACATCGATGGTAAAACCTAGAATTTTTTACGGTGCCGTGGTATAGTGGCAAAAACAAAACAGACCAAAGCGAGGGAAAAACTGAATAGATGGCATCGACCCCGACAGCTGCGTTAGAAGTCATGCTAAATCTACCACCGCTGCATATAGTGGCGGAAAGAGAAATGAGGCTAGCAGCATACCGACTCAGGAACAATAACGACTGGAGGGTGCTACGATCTCAGGGAGGCAGAAATACGTACTTATCTCAGTTTTATTAATATATTCCTGGTTAGATACATTACACTTAAAATACAACTTTATCAATACAGTGGGTAATTTTTCTTGACGTATAACAGTATAACAGTGACAGTTTATCGTGCGTACATCGTACAACCTCCTTCCAAGTCCCACTGCACACTGCCCCACACTTCAGTGCACTCTCCTCTCTACCGCACATAGTCCCCACTTCATGATTAACACTCATGCGCGTCACAAGGGGTAGTCTCTATTCCAGGATTATGGACTCATCTATGTCGGAACCAATTCTTGGGATGGTATCTGACAAGATGATTCCAAGGTTTCACTTCCACAAGCCATTTGAAGATCAAAGCAAATGGGAGGAAAAGTTTGATACCCTGGAAAGATCCATCTTTCCAGGCTTACTAGGCTCCAGCCTAGTATGGTTTACGGACGGTTCCAAAATGACCAGAGGGACGGGTACAGGAATATATTGACTCAGACTCATATGGAGTGCAAGCGGAGATTCCCTACTGCATTCCAAGCAGAAATTTTCGCGATAATGGCATGTCTGGCAGAGAGGTTATAAACGCAAACTCATATATATATTCTCTGATAGTCAAGCTGCAATTAGCAATTAGCCTCAGGCACACACAAGATAACTTCAAACTTGTGTGGGACTGTTTACAAATGCTGACTGAACTGGCCACCAATTAGACCGTCGCGCCAGTTAGACTGTGTTGGGTGTCAGAATACAAAGGCATTTGTAGAAACGAGAAAGAGGATGAACTTGCTAAGAAGTGATCCCAGACAGAGTTTATTGGCCCGGAGCCCTTCTGCGGTACATTTCCCAGAGTGGTCAAATGAGTTGCTGAACTTGACTAAAATTCCGCTCAGAAGAGTGACGGGACACTGTCACTTTAGGAAACATCTACATATGGTAAAGCGTGTAGCTTGTCCGGTCTACCGAGGATGTGACTCGGCGGATGAAACCTCTCTGCATATCCTGAGCGAATGCCCAATATTTGCACGTAGTAGAATGACACACCTGGGAAGACCCTATTTGGAACCCAAGGAGCTGAGAGAAGTGTC